AGCAAGCACAGGTAGATAGAGCTGGTCCACCAGGTGCAGTCTCAGGAGCCGGGAGCAAGCACAGGTAGGTAGAACTGGCCCACCAGGTGTGGTCCCAGGAGCCAAGGTCAAGCACAGGTAGGTAGAGCTGGCCCACCAGGTGTAGTCTGGGGACCCAGGATCAAGCACAGGTAGGCAGAGCTGGCCTTCCAGTGTGGTGTGAGGAGCCAAGGTCAAGTATAGGTAGGTAAAACTGGCCCATCAGGTGTGGTCTGAGGACCCAGCATCAAGCACAGGTAGGCAGAGCTGGCCCTCCAGGTGTGGTCTGAGAAACCAAGTTCAAGCACACCTAGGCAGAGCTGGCCGGCCAAGTGTGGTTGGAGGAGCCAGGGTCAAACACAGGTAGGAAGAGTTGGCCCGCCAGGTGAAGCTGAAGAGCCAGAGTCAAGCACAGGTAGGTAGAACTGGCCTGCCAGGTGTAGTCTGAGGACCCAAGATCAAGCACAGGTAGGCAGAGCTTGCCCTCCAGGTATGGTCTGAGGACCTAGGGTCAAGCCATAGGTAGGAAAAGCTGGCCTGCCAGGTGAGGTCTGAGGAGCCAAGGTCAAGCGCAGGTAGGCAGAGCTGGCCCACTAGGTCTTTTTTTTTTTTTTTTTTTTTTTTTAAGATTTTATTTATTTTATTTTTTCCCCCCAAAGCCCCAGCAGATAGTTGTATGTCATAGCTGCACATCCTTCTAGTTGCGGCATGTGGGACTCGGCCTCAGGATGGACGGAGAAGTGGCGCCTCGATGTGCACCCGGGATCCGAACCCGGGCCGCCAGCATTGCAGCGCGCGCACTTAACCACCAAGCCACAGGGCCGGCCCATGGCCCACTAGGTCTTTTAAGGAGCCAGGGTCATGTACAGGTAGGTAGAGCTGGCCCACCAGCTGCAGTGTAAGGAGCCAGGGGCATGTAAGGTAGGCAGATCTGGCCGACCAGGTGTGGTCTGAGGAGCCAGGGTCAAGCACAAGTAGGTAAAGAAGGCCCACTAGGTGTGGTGTGAGGAGCCAGGAGCAAGCACAGGTAGGTAGAGCTGGTCCACCAGGTGTGGTCTGAGGAGCCAGCATCATGTACAGGTATGTAGAACTGGCCCAGTACATACAGTGTAAAGAACCAAGGCCATGTACAGCTAGATGGAGCTGGCTCACCAGGTGTGGTCTGAGGAGCCAGGGTCAGAGGCAGGTAGGCAAAGCCCGTCTGCCAAGTGTAGTGTCTTGAGGCCTGAGGAGTTAAGAGTTGAACACAGGTAGGTAGAGTTGGTTCTTGCAGGTGTTGAATTCAGCAAAAGTATGTACTGCTGGGTCTTTGTGGTGAGACCTGAAGAACCAGGGTTAAGCCTGGGTGGGTAGAGCAGCCTCTCAGGTCAGGCCTGCAACACTGGGGTCTTCTGCAGGTAGGCAGAACACGGTGGGGCTCATAGGAGGTCCGTGGGCCCTAAGTTAGACATGCATAGGTAGGTGCGGCTCTCACAAGCAAGGATTTTGGAGCCAGAGGTATGTACACCTTGGTCCTGTGCGTGAAGTCCTTGGAGCAAGGTTCTGCCTCAGGTGTGTTGGCCCAAGTCTTAGAGGTTAGGCCTGGGGAGCATGGGTTAGTCACAGGTAGGTAGAACCACATCTCTCAGGTGGGGTCTGTGGAGCACAGGTATGCAGAGATGTTTGCATCCAGTGAGGTCTGAGGCTTCCCAGTGAGGTGCTGGTGCCCACGTTAATCAGGGGTTAGTAGTATTGGATTTGTCTCTGACACATGAAGAGCTGAGTCAGACACAGGATAATGGACCTGGGTCTCTCAAGTTAGGCCTTTTAGGGAGCCGGGGTCAGGCCCACGTAGGTACAGCGGGATCTCTCAGGAAGGTGTGAGGAGTCTGAGTTGGGCTCAGGGAGGTGGACCTGGGTCTGTTGATTGAGAGGTGAGGAGCCAAGCGCAGGCAGGTATATGAAACCTGGTCCATCAGCTGAGCTGTCTGGGGCGTCCCTGCTGGGTGTATAACCCTGCAGTATGAGGCACTAGAGTAGGACACAGGTAGGCAGAGCTAACCTCTCAGTTGCATCCATGCCCAGTACTGCTATGGTGACCTGGCTTTGTCAGTGAGTTCATGGATCCAGGGTCACATGGGCAGAGGTATATAAATATGATCGTAGGTGGGTTATTGCCGCCTGGGTTCAGATATAGATTGGCATCTCTGGGCTTATTAGGTGAAATAAGTGGGGCAAGATCTAGCCTAGAAATGCATATTTGGTGTGGCTGGTGAGGCCTGAGAAGGTGGGTCAGACACAGGTGGGACCTTCAGTGGGAGGATCAGGCATGGTTAGGTGGGTAGCATGGGCTGTCCTCAAGAGAAAGCCAGAGTCATTGTTGGTATGTGTACCTGGGTCTGCCCGGGGAGGTCTGGAGAGCCCTTTGGATCAGGTGCGACCAGTAGTGTGTTCCTGAGCCAGGTCAACCACCTGTACTCAGCACCTGGTCAGATGTGATGGGCAGAGCTCAGGGTGTTGCAGAGACCTGAGGACCTATAACCAGTCCAAGGTGTGGTCTTTAGTACTGGGGTCTGATCGGCATAGGGTCTGCGTTACCCAGGTGAGGAAACAGATAGGGTTATACATGGTTAGATAAAGTGAGGTCTGGGCACCAGGGCAGGTGAAGCGCGGAACAGTGAACTGACTGAGGAGCTACATCTAGGAGCTATGGTCTGAGAGGCCTACTACAGGGAGAGGTGAGGTCTGGAGACCTGTGTCTGCAGGTTGAGGTCTCAGAGAGTCAAATCAGACACTGGCGTTGCTGGGCTCTCCCCAAATTGAGGTCTGAGGACCCGACCTTAGCCCAGGTCAGCAGCCTGGAATCTGTCGGTCTGAGGGCTGACTGCGCAGTCCAGTTTCTAGAATTGAATCTGTTAGGTGATGTCTGAGAGCCTGTGTCAGGCATGGTGTGGCCTGCAGGACTGTGTCCATCAGGTAAGGTTCGCCAAAACCCGAAGGACCCCACCGTTCATCTCATTACCTAAGCCGGAAGCCTCTGGGCCACACTTGGTTCTCAGTCTTGCAATTCATTCTGTTTGTTGAACCTCTGTTGAATCAGTCTTTTGCACTACCTTGTCCAGGGCAGCGTCATTCTCTGGACGACCACTGGGGGCCCCTACATGGTTTCCTGCTTCCATTATCTCTATATCTACAGAAGTCTCGGTTCTCCAGTTTTGCCTCTCAACTTCTACCCTTCAGTCCTCACTCCTTCCTTCATCTTCTAGCTTGTGCTGTGCTTCCTGCCGCCCAGCTTGTCTCACTGGGCTTCCACTAGAGAATTAAGCACTAATGTCCCAAGGCATCCATTGGATGTAATGAATTAGCATCTCTCCTTTGCATCTAGAAGGGTACTCCCCTTGGATCAGCATGGGAGAATTGAGAAGTTAAGTCACTCAAAGCATTTTCCATGGGGCTTAATTCTCTCACTTTTGACAAAGGTGGCCCTTCCTTTGCATATGCTGTTCTGGCTGCTGGAATGCTTTTCTCTCAGTGCCTCCCTGGGTAATGCCTGCTCTTTCTTCAGGTCCAGGCTCAGGCACCCTTCAGATTCTTTTTGTAATTGGTGTCAGTATTGTATTTCCTTTCTCCAAAGCACTTGTCTTATTTGCATATTTATTGGCATGATTGTTTCCTTTACATCTTTCTCCCCAAGGACTGTTTCCATTACCTGTGCTAGGAACATGGTAGGTGCTCCATAAATAGGTGTTAGGAAGATGGGAATGGAGTTCCGAGGATTTTGATGATACAAAGTGGAATCTGCAAGTGTGACACGCGAAGGCACAGTGTGAAGGTAGGCCTAGGTATATCTTGGGGCTGAGACTGAGAAGACTGGTCAAGCCCAGGTATGAGCCACTGGGCCTGTCAGTGTCCCGGGAGGCAGGGCTAGGTACAGGTATGAGGCACTGGGTCTGTAGTACAGCCTGAGAAGTCAGGAATGGGCACTGGATATGTCAGTATCAGAAGGGGCAAGGCCAGGCCAAGGTATGAGGCATTGCGTCTATTGGTGTCTGAGGAGGAGAGGCCAGGCCAGGTAGGAGGTGTTGGGTCTTTCATTGTTCAAGGAAGCATGCTTGGGCACAGGTATGAGGCACTGGGCCTGTTGCTGAGGATATAGGACCTGGCACAGGTATGAAGCACTGGGACTGTCAGTGTCCAAGGAGGCGGGGCCAGGCACAGCTATGAGATTCTTATCTGTAAATGTCCATGTATGTGGGCTAGGCACAGGTATGGGAAGCTGGGTCTGTCAGTGTTCAAAGAGGCCTGACATAGGTATGAGGCACTGGGTCTGTTGTGTTCCACAAGGTACGACCAGACACAGGTAGGAGGCGCTAGGTCTGTCACTGTCTGAGGAGGCCAGGCCTGGCACAGGTATGACATGCTGAGTTGGTCAGTGTTTGAAGAGGCCAGGCACAGGTATGAAACACTGGATCTGTCTCTGTCTGAGGAAGCTGGACCTGGCACAGGTATGAGGCACTGGGTCTGTCAGTGTTTGAAGAGGCCAGGCACAGGTATGAGGTGCTGGATCTGTCAGTGTTTGAAGAGGCTGGGCACAGGTATGAAGTGCTGAGTCTGTCAGTGTGTGAGGAAGCTGGACCTGGCACAGGTATGAGGCACTGGGTCTGTCGGTGTCTGAGGAGATGGGCCTGGTACCAGGTATGAGGCACTGGGTCTGTTGGTGTCTGAGGAAGTGGGGCCTGGCACCAGGTATGAGGCACTGGGTCTGTCAGTGTCTGAGGAGGTGGGGCCTGGTACCAGGTATGAGGCACTTGGTCTGTTGGTGTCTGAGGAAGTGGGGCCTGGCACCAGGTATGAGACACTGGGTCTGTCAGTGTCTGAGGAAGTGGGGCCTGGTACCAGGTATGAGGCACTGG